ACACCCTGGAACACTAGATCCACTTGCAAAAACCAGGCAGAAAAGTAGCCACCACATTCAAAACCACCAAGTGAGATTCCTTTTGTGTTCTTTGTGATTCTGCAACTCTACGGGAAGATATGTGCGATCAATTCTAGTTGATGGCCCCTGATGGCCTAGCTCATCTTGATTATTAATTGAGGGGTCTGCAGCATCTCTAGTACCTCTTGATTATTTTCCCACGGACCTTTCCCTAGCTTGATCCAAGGCACAGCCGGGGAATGTTGGGGAAAATTCCAATTATCCAACATCTTCTCCAAGCATAAATGTCTACGACATTCTTGGATTCTCGGAGGACAATTTATTACAGTAATTGAGCAAAATTAATTTGAGTAGAGCCCCCCCTCGATTAATTCCACCTAGCGGAGGGCACATGAGAAAAGCATGGAAAAGGAAGGGAGCCATGAGCATACGTGTCCCATGTGACACAAAAAATCAACAAAGCGTAAGAACTCGACAGGGGGTGCTACCGCTAAAGGTCATGTTCCAACTACGCAGCGGAATGGGGAAGGCATCAACACCTGAGGAATCGGAGGCCGTTCCTAAGCCCTTTTGGGATCACTCAATCGTTCTCCTCCAAAAGCAACCCCTTCAAGTCTTGTCTAATTTCCGCAATCCAAGTCAAGGGGCAGTTGAGGCCTTCGTGCTTCTCCCATCTGTCTGTAACCGGAGCGGTTGTCGTGGGTCCAGGGCCCGTCGTCGTAGTGGGTCCGGGCACCTGTGAGGAACACGAAGACTACACAAAATATATACAATATTATACAATATTGACATGAATGGCACTGCAAAGTGACACAAGCAGTATTATTGTTACAGAAGGGGGGGTGAGGGGGGGAGAGTATGCATATTGTAGAAACGCGCGTTTTTGCACTCTCTACTTCAAAGCCTCCTATCTGCTGCTGAAATGCTGAAAATTACAGTATAAACAAGCAATCTCTCTTGCTGCTGTCCATCTGGAGCAAACCATGCAAAAACCTCGAAAAAACAAAAAAAACCTGCAGACCCCATTGGGGCTCTTGTCTGACTCTGTGGACATGTTGTCTGCAGTTTTTTTGTTTTGTTTTTCGAGGTTTTGGCCATCTGGAGCAAACCATGCAAAAACCTAGAAAAACAAAAAAACAAAAAAAACTGCAGACCCCATTGGGGCTCTTGTTTGACTCTGTGGACATGTGGTCTGCAGTTTTGATTTTTTTGTTTTCGATTTTCTGGCCATCTGGAGCAAACCATGCAAAAACCTCGAAAAACAACAAAAAACAAAAACAAAACTGCAGACCGCATTGGGGCTCTTGTCTGACTCTGTGGACATGTGGTCTGCAGTTTTGTTTTTTTTTGTTTTTTTGGGTTTTTCGAGGTTCTGGCCATCTGGAGCAAACCATGCAAAAACCTCGAAAATCAAAAAAAACAAAAACAACAAACTGCAGACCCCATTGGGGCTCTTGTCTGACTCTGTGGACATGTGGTCTGCAGTATTGTTTTCTTTGTTTTTTTTTTTCCGAGGTTCTGGCCATCTGGAGCAAACCATGCAAAAACCTCGAAAAAACAAAAAAACAAAAACTGCAGACCCCATTGGGGCTCTTGTCTGACTCTGTGGACATGTGGTCTGCAGTTTTGTGTTTTGTGTTTTTTTGTTTTTTCGAGACTATGCTTTCACCACACCAGCTGTAAGCACAGGAAATGTTAGAGGTAATAAAATTTTGGAAGGACTGGTTGGGAGAAAGATTACAAAAGAGTTTGATAAACATTTATTCAATAAAATATTTATGATTATGAACACAGACCGCAATTTTAAAGATATGATGAATGGAGCAATTGCTGATTATACTGATGCCATTAGGATTGAAAAAATAGTTGATGTAAGTGATACTGGAGCAAGTGATATGAACATCAAAGAGGAGAGATTGAGGGATGGATTGCGCAATCAGGCAATCTTTCATAAATACATTGAAACAGTCATAGATGGAGAATATCAAACAGTCAAGGATGCCATAGAGAACATCAAATATAAAAAGGATGAGTGTTGGATAAACTCACTTGTAGATACATATGAGGGAACTGAACTAATGAAGGATGGTAGAAGAAAACATGCTAAAACCTTGACAAGAGAAAAAGTGCTGGAGCTACTGAATATGAGTGATGAAGAATTTGTAGAAAAAGGGGCATCTATTAATCAAATGGAAGTTGTATTTGAAAATTTTAACATCCCAGTCAGACTATACAATTTCAATACCGAACTCATTTACAGATATGACCCAGAGAGAAGAAGCAAACATAGAGTAAGGACATTTATGGGCTTGGTGAAGAACAACCATATCTACACAATGAATTATAAACTGGACAGTTTGTCTCATATTACTTCACCTGACACATGTGAATTAAATGCCAGTCAAAATTTTTACATCAGTGATAAAGAAGAACCGGTTAAATATCAATCATTTGAACATATAGATGAACTACTACAAATGACAGAAGAGGAAGAGTATAACTTCATAGAGGTTTATAATGATTTGCCCAAGGTATTGTATCAACTCAAGTCAGCAAAATATGAGCCTTATGTGAAATATGATGCCAGATGTATTACAAATATCAAAGTAAAATTTAGATACAAGAAGTTGAAGAAAACAATTACTTACAACATTGTAAGTCAGGAACTTTCAAGACAAACCCTTCACAGTCAAACACTGGTGAATACATCAGATGAGTTCAACAGAATGACTGAAGAGATGTTCAAATTCAACAAGGCACTTTTCAAGGAAACACAAAAGTCTAAATATTCAGAGTTGGATGTTCAGATACTGGATGAGATGAGAACCATAGTACCACTGGGGTATTTTAATCAGGATGTGACAAAGAAAAAATTGATGGAAGCAGATTTGAACAAGGCCTTTACTGATGCCTTAATACACATAAAGTTTATACCGTTTTTTTCAGAGTTTGATATTTGGATGCCTTATGAGGGTGAAAATATTGAAACAATGAGTAATTATACACTTTACATTGTTGAAGTATATGAAGGACACATATTTTTCAACAAGAAATATAACTTAGTTTATGGGATGTTTTTGAAGAAGTTGATGAACAATAATATTAAATTAAAAATCAAAACTTTCACATCCCCCCCCTCACCCCCCGCTCTCTATTGTTATTATATAAATTATATATATGCTATTATCATTATTACAGCTCACAGGTGAGGATAATAGCTGGTTCCGACACTGCACCTCCAAGCACACGGAGTCTTCTTCGTCTTCGGTTGCCTCAATTCCTTCAAGCAATTTGCAATGATTGCCTTCCCGTCCAAACAATCAAAGCCTGCAACATGAAGCGAATTGAGCACAATATATAGTGCCTATATATATAGATCTATATAGTGGCCTAGTGTGGCTGCCATGTTGTACAAACTTCCACGAGCAAACTTCTCAAGTTCTCATCTCTTGAGGTTTCTCTCTGCGGTTGCAATGTGACTGCCTCTGTTCCACGCAGCCACGCCTCATACAGTTATCGCCGTCTCGCTATTGTTCTTCCTACATGCACCCGGTACTACGCCTATCCTTCTGTGAGCAGTGATGCACTACGGCTCTCTACGTTTTGGATGCGTTCTCCCTTCTCTTGCTTGATCCTCCTCTCACTCTCGCCTTATGTCCTCTTTTTTCGATTCTTTAGGCGCCTTAAAGGCGGATTGTTTTGTTTGGTTCTGTATTTGCTATATTTTCCTACTTTCTTCTCGGCTCTCCACTGTGTGCCCTTCGGCCTTTCAGGCCAAACTCTTCACTTTCCAGCAAACACTTGTCCGGAACACGGGGTCAGGTTTCAGTGCCAGGGCCTGAAGCTGTGTGATGGTGTGATGATGTTTCTCACAGGCAGGGGCCAGGGGCAACAAATAAGTAGCAACATCTGGTCACATGGTAGAACACTCTCGAGCTGGTGATCCGAGCTGGACACCCTGTGTGAGCTCTTTCACCTCCAGTCTATGCGGTCTATGCATCTTGTCATGCTGAATCATGCTGGTCGTATAGCATGTTTGTATCATTTTTGCTGCAAGGGGCGCTCATTTGATTTTGTTTCTGCTAGTCATGCAGCACAACACTTGACCCTACCTTCCTTCAATTGACGATTCACCATGCTGCTTTCTCGTGTGCAGTCTCCAAGAGCTATGTGTCAAAACCTGGTTGCTTCACTGCAGTCCTGCTGAGCGCACCCAAACTTCGCAAAGGCCACGACTTTTGTAGGAGACGCCCTGAACTGCTCAAGTTAAAGAAACCAAGAATTCTAATGCGCCGGATTGGCAAACACAACAGCACAGCTCAAGCATGCTCAAACAATCATACCTTTGAAGGGGGAGTAGAAGCAGGGTGGACAGTTGCCTGGCAATCAGCATCTTGCACGCAAATGGATTTGCATTCATCCAGTGTGGTTGCGGTGGTCGACTTGAAGTAGGACTCCTGCCATCAAAGTGTGCCACCCTTGCTTGGGGCCTAAGCATCATGCATGGGTGCCAATATGGTGCAACAATGATATAGAACAGCAACTCCTCATTAAACAACGCACACTCCAGGAAGTCCTCCTTGTCACCCGGGTGTGATCCGCGACATCCCTTACCTCGACCTCCATTTACTTCTCTGAAGTTGTTCATCGCGGATGCATCCTTCCCACGTTCTACAATTCCAAAAGCCGACGTGACGACGTGGATATCGTGGATTGACTCAAAACTTTCTGCATTTGAACATCAGTCACAAGCCCCGGACTTCACAAGCCCCGGACTTCGTAATTATTAGAAACATTTAGAAACGCAAAATCTCACAGTTTCCAGCAGGCCAAGCTTCTTGCAGCAGTCGCAAACAAGTTGATCCTGTCACAGCACGGCGCAGCTGACTTTGCAATTGTACCAACACAAGAATCACATCATCCGGATGAAGGTGCTTCATTTCAGAAAACAAACGAATCAGACATCCCTGCTGATCTTGCCGAAGACGAGTCGCGTCAAACAACTCCAACCCTGGTTGAATTCTCACTTGTTCTGTAGCCATAGCTAGGCTCCTTCGCCCATCTGACTTCGACCTGTATTTTCTATCCTTTGGGGACAGCCAACGCTAGTGCCGTGTGCTTTGAGCCCCTCCAAGTCCCTCCAAGCTAGTACGGCACACCATGGCAAATTGGCAGTGTCCGAAAACCAGTCATAGTCTTGTCGTGTCTCGTTTCAGGTTGGACGAGGTTGGGCAGCACACACCCAGTCGATCCCAGTGGGCCAGGAGAAACAAACCGGTCTACCTCTGAGTTCTGAGAGTCCAGGTCTTAGCTGAGGTGCAGACCTGCAAGAGGGTGGCTGGCCTGAATACCCTCCCGTCGCGTCCACACTTTGCAACCTTAGCCACGTGTGATCAGGGCAAGTTGGGGCCTTCTCGAGCAAGAATCGATCTGATGCAAGAAGCACAAAAAACCTACAGTAGGTATGCTTGGCAAACTGTGCCATGGTTAGAATGGAGGATTTTTTGTTCAACAGCGGCAAGCCGATCACCCCCAGACTCAAATGCAACTCAGCAGCGCATACGATTGAACTCGATTCCCTGACATGACATGGCACCCTTTCCCCTACTGCTTCAACGCTTGCCATGTTGCGTACAAAGTCCGGCCTTACAGGCAGAATTGGACAAGCAAAGCTGTTTGCAGTCCTCCATTGATGTTGCCTGGAAGGTTGAGCAGCTCCAATCACATAGGCAGTGATGTCAATAAGTACTTGGGGCAGGGGGCAGGTGTCCAAATTTGTACTGAAACTCAACCAAGGCTCAGCAGTTGAAATGTAATGGCCAGCCAAGTTGTCATCCGCATGTGACCTTACTCTTCTTCCCACGCTGGGAAGCGTCACGGAACTTGGCTGGCAGGTGCTGGTCGCAGGTCGCGTCAAAAAAAAACAAACTTTGCCAAAGCCAATATAATCTGCTGAAATCCTGCAAGCAGCCCTCGGCATGATCGGCCAACACCACCATGGACTGGGAAGAAATCCGGTTCTGCCACTCCTCATCATGTTTAATCTTTTGCCGTGGAACGTGCAAAATGCGTTCCTGGAAGCCGGGTGTCCCTTGTTGAAGCTTCTGGAACCTTTCAGCTGGAGCCACAGCCTAAAGTCACAAGGATCTGCCAAAGCTTGGTTCAAGATGGAAGATGATGGAAGCACTTTGCAGGATGATTGGCGTCATCATGAGTGAAGGGAAATCCAGCACGATTAATACCAAGAAACGCTCCGGAGCTTGAACAGGTGTTGTCATCACTGCAACCTGCTGCGGCCTTGGTTGCTTGTAGCATCCCTCAGGACACTTGGGGACGAGCAAAATCCATCAAGTGTGTGGGGGCACTTGAATCACCCTCCTGTCAACTGACCCCCCAGTGACGAAAAGCGCTTGGAAGATAGAGCGGTGTAGGTGTAGGCATACCAAAGCTTAGGCACGTTATTGGAGAGTTGCCAGCCCCGTGTATGCATGCCGCATATCCATTTAGTAGACTTGCCATCGCACGATGTTAAAATAAAAGCAGCAAACCAAAATAGACCAAGTTGCTTTCTGCACCAAGAGGGCAGCTAGCACCCAACACAGCATTGCGCGCAAGATTGGCAACGGAATAGAACTTGAACCCTGTAAAGAGCTCACGGCAACGGCTGTCAATCTTCTTATAGCGTCCAGCATCACTCAAGTGAAACTGCTGTAGAATCCCAGAAATTCGTGCCTGGTCATTTTCGAGTTCAGCCTTTGCCCTTGTAATCTCAGCTTTAACCTGGACAAACTGTGCATGCACAAACCAGGCATTTAACGTGAACTGTGCATTTCGAATCTGGCAAGTTAGTAATTACATGCGTTACTTAAATTGTTGATCGAATTTCTTGTGTTGAGGATAACCACCCTCCCCCTGCCCAGCTGGCACCAAGATGCGCGTGATCACGACCAGAATCAGAAACTTCTCAGCAAACCACACAGCAGCACTGGCATGAATCATGAGTCATGAGGCTTTGTATATGTCCTCTGGTGACGTCCGGGGACCCTGAAGAATTCCATACATCCATATACATCCAATACTATTCCATGCCGAAGTAAAAAAACACTGCAAACAGGTTCGGAATTCAACATTCGCAGTTTTTGCTGTAAATGCAAGATGTGGCCGCTGTTAGCCTCCTCCAACTGTTCTGCAGCTCGCTGGTTTGACCACTCCAAATTGTCAGGTTGGGCTGTGGCCTGGCCAGTTCAATTTCCCCAACTATTTGGATGACCGACAGGGCAAACCAGCCAGGCAAGCAAAATACGCGGCCCATTTTCCCAGCAAGCACAGCAAATACTCAATGTGACTATATGATCCAATATGTACATTCATTTGACAGCCTCCACACAACTACACAACTCCAGCGGCGGTGAAACACCAAGCTCATCAAACCTCTTCGGTCGATGGATTCAATTGCTCTCTTGAGAGCTCGCTTTGAAGTTCATTTAGCAGCAGCTGAAGTTTGCAAAGTCCTTCGCACCAACAGCGGCATAGCAGTTTGTACGCTCAGCAAACATCAATGTTCTGCTTGTAGTTTTGTAATCATATGTATGCTTGTCAATCACATGCCGGTTCAACAACCATATCCTAAGCCACGCTTATGCACTTGGTCACCTTGCTCCATCAGCATTGGGTACAAAGCATAAATGCCATTGAAGCCAGAAGCACTCCGCAGGCTTTAGCGGGCTAGCAGGCGAGCATGACGGGTCACAATTGTTGCCCGTACGAGTGATGCTTATTTGTATTATAGCTTCTGATCATGGAGGTGCTCTGATAAGCTTGACAGCCTTGCAGTCGCTATCTCCTTTGGCATGTGTGTCAAACCCACTTGTGGCATATGCACCCACACTAATTACAGTACTAGTATCTATTAGTACATGCCTTTGGCTGCATGCAAGTCGGCAAGTGAACGTCAAGGCAAACTAGCTCGAAAGAGTTTGGACTGTATGCAGGGTTATGGCATGCTTGCACGAGCGAGTCACTCTCCTTACCTCGCAACATTTTTGGCGCGGATACCGCCAAAAAACATGCCAGGTGCGAGGCCCATCAATTTCGGGTCTCTCACGGCCATGAATGGCACTGGGAAGTAAAAGTGACGAGCTTGACGAACATATAACACAGAATCGCTGGACACCAAGCACTGCTGACTCAAAGCCTACAAACAAAACAATCATGGATCCTTCTGATGGATCTTCAAAAAGAAGGTTAATGACGACAAAGGATTATATACTGCTTCGGAGTGGATGGACTACAGTAAAACAAACCAGGCAAAACACAAGCTACTGCAACTCAAATGAACATGAATATACTGTACTGTATATACTCAGCTTATGCTGCTTCAAGTGCCACGCTTTGCATTTCAAGAAGCATATCAAGTCCGAAAACCCTGCTTTACTTCCCACGGTGGCATCGTCTGATTCTGTCCTAATTGCCTCTCGTCACAGTGTGTGTCTGTGTGCTATCACATTGGCATAGCCTTCTGCAATCCCCGTTGATATTTAGGGTGAGGGGTCGGGGTCCCTATTTGGTAGTAAAAATCACTACAAAATGTCAGCGACCAACGTCCCATCCCTACAAAATGACTCCCAAAAAACGGACTCATTTTGTAGGGAGGGGATAGGCCAATTATACAAAATGGAGGGGGCCAAGGTCACTGATTGCTACAAAATGGGGCGCGGGGCCTACTCATTTGGTAGTGAAGATGAATGCGCATGAAAATCATCAACAAAAGTCAAGAATAGTCAAGACATGTCAAGACTGTTTTTTCTGACGCGCTTTTGGACGCCTGTCAAATGGCTGTACTCCCCACGAAGCCTAGGCTTAATGGCTATACTTTGATAGGTGGCTGGCTGGCTGATTCCGCCGGATACTTCTGCTGGCTGCCTACCGGCTAAGTCCGCTGGATACTTTAGGTGGCTGATTCCGCCAGCCGCCGGGTACTTTTGGTGGCTGGCTGGCTGATTCCGCCAGATACTTTGCTGGCTGGCTGGCTGACTCCGCCGGATACTTTGAGAAGTTGCTGGCTGGCTGGCTGATTCCGCTGGATACTTTGACAGGTGGCTGGCTGACTGATTCCGCCGGATACTTTAGGTGGCTGATTCCGCCAGCCGCCGGGTACTTTTGGTGGCTGATTCCGCCAGCCGCCGGGTACTTTTGGTGGCTGGCTGGCTGATTCCGGCGGATACTTTGCTTGGCTGATTCCGCCGGATACTTTGATAGTTGGCTGGCTGGCTGATTCCGCCGGATACTTTTTAGCTAGCTGGCTGGCTGATTCCGCCGGGTACTTTGATATGTGGCTGGCTGGCTGGCTGATTCCGCCAAGTACCCGGAATGCAGGGTCAATCTTCTAAATCTTCTGTATACACTTATTGACTTATTATACATTAAATAAAACAATTAAATTATATATATATATATTATTTGTATATATATCTAATTGTATATATATATATATATCTCTGAAGGATCCTTCAGGACATGTCATCTGCACCATTCTGCACCCATGGCAACCTTCCCTACTCTACAAAATGGAGGGGCCTTTGATTTTGTACAGCAGGCCGGTCCCACACCAGCAGGTGCACATCCTGCCTATCAAAGATACCTCTCCCCCTCCACCTTTGCCCTTTCAGCCCCCTCCCTAGGCTTGGTCACCACCGGCCACCGTCCCTACTCTACAAAATAGGGTGGCCCAACCCTGGGCTTGTGTGTCTGATTTTGTACGGTAGGCCTGTCCCACACAAGCAGACACACCAGCAAGACCCAGTCACAACCACCAAGATCCACTGGCCACCTCCCCTACTCTACAAAATGGGGTGGCCACCCCCTTTGGGCTTGTGTCTCTGATGTTGTACAGCAGGCCTGTCCCACACAAGCAAGCACACCAGCAAGACCCAGTCACATCCACCAAGTTCCACCACACCTGCCTAGTCTTGGTCATCACTGGCCGCCTTCCCTACTCTACAAAATGGGGTGGCCCAACCCTTGGGCTTGTGTCTCTGATTTTGTACAGCAGGCGTGTCCCACACCAGCAGGTGCACCAGCCAGACCCAGTTACATCCACCACATCCTGCCTATCAAAGATATCTCACCTTTGCCCTTTCAGCCCCCTGCCTAGGCTTGGTCACCACTGGCCACCTTCCCTGCTCTACAAAATGGGGGGCCCAACCCTTGTTTGTACAGTAGGCCTGTCCCACACAAGCAGACACACAAGCAAGACCCACTCACAACATGTCACAACCACCAAGTTCCACCACATCCTGCCTATCAAAGATACCTCTCCACCCTCCACCTTTGCCCTTTCAGCCCCCTGCCTAGGCTTGGTCACCACCGGCCACCTTCCCTACTCTACAAAATGGGATGGCCCAACCCTTGGGCTTGTGTCTCTGATTTTGTACAGTAGACCTGTCTCACACCACCAAACACACCAGCAAGACCCAGTCACAACCAC